ACCAAGATATGTCATGATACTGTGGCATTTCTCATGTAAAATATGTTCTATCAAGAATGTCTTGTCACAAGCGTCAAAAATTAATGAAAACGACGTGCCGATTAATAGAGATAACGAGAACTGTAAACAATATTTTTGCATCATGAGCGAGCTCAATAGAATGAATGATATGTAGCCTTTCACTTGGCATTTGTATCGTTTCAGCATACTTCCGACAAAAGTGAAAAATATACAAGTCGTTCCTTCATTCACCTTCTATGTGGAAAAAAAGGCTTATATAAAAATCATTAAAAAATCGATTATAATTAAAAAAAAAAATCAGAAGTATAGAAATTTCCTCGATTATTTTGATTCTTTTTGATTAAAACTTATTAAAAATTGTGTAAAAAATATCATTTGTAATCAATTTCGTGTGATCATAAGGATTAGGAGTTTAATTCAATTTTGTTTATTTTACATTGATTATAAGCAATTTCTCAATGGTTATTAAATCGATGTCAATGGAAAATAATCAATTTTATGCATCATTCGTGTCACATGGACTATACAAATCATAGAAGAAAGAAGTAGGAAGTGAAGGTAAAATATAAATAACCTTGAATATTGATACGAAATTAATGAGAAACTAAGGTGAGTCAATGCATATCAATTGGGAGGCTTATTTTTAGGTTGGAAAAATCCCTTTCTTTTATAAACAGTAGAATAAAATATAATGACATTACATCTTTAGTGAACATTTCAAAAAACGTGAGAACCAAAGCATCTATTATGTGTCCCGCAATCAGAAGACAAGATCATTTTTTCTTGTGGGCAATGATTTTGCTTCCAGTTTTATCGTTAATTGCATATGTTGTTGATTCATTTTATTATTACCATGTGTTACATGAATCTGAGTACTCAATCTATGAAGGTCTTCTCTCGACAATTCTTATAGTCTTTTGTTATCTACAATATTGTGCTCCGATTAAGTCACACTATTTGTTGATCTTCTATCATCTGTTCTTATGGGCACTTGTTGAAACTGGTAATATCGGCTATCTTCTCTCATATATTTACCAGAAAAAAAAGTTCTCAATCGTTATATTTTCTGGATGGATAGTTCTCGACATTGTCTTCACCGCGGCACTTATTTACTGTCGTGTATATCAGAAACTTGATCATCATATTGAAGTAAAAAATAGACATATTTTTCATTTCATTTCTCGATTGGAAATTATTCTTGCTATATTCATTCCTATCTATATTAATCAAAAATTTACAACAATAACTCGAGACAATATCGCTTTTTTCCTCTTATTCGACTTTTTTTCAGAGACATACGAGCGTTTTCGTAGTCGCTGGATCAAATCGTTTCTGTATTTGTTTGTAGTTGCTGTGACTATATCTGTAACATGTGAATGGCTCTATTTTCGTTCCGAACAGCACATATTCGAGTATATTACCGATGTTTCCGAACTTACAGCTGCATGTCTTTGTGATACTTTAATTATCATGCAGTTTTATAAATGCCACTTCAACATGCATGCTGAACTCGATAACGTCAGTGAAGCATCTATCTTCGCCATGACTGCAAGACAGCAACCGCATGTAAACAGTTTGACAAATGGTTAAGGATTTATTCTTCCTTGTGAAATATATATGTGCGTGTTCATTTTCTTTCTCTTTCTGTTATGTGCCTGTTTCTTCTTCAGGTGTCTTCTTGATCATTGAAAATTGTTCGCTCGTTTTCTTTCATTTAATACTCTACATTGGTTTCTATTCTCTCACGGTCAATGAACATTGATATTGACCTTGGTCTTTTTTTTATTTTTATTGCGTAGAAACTTTTCTATTGCATAGTTTATAATACGTGATATTGTTATCATTATATATTCCTTCTTCTATCCAAAAAGGACGGTTATTATTCGCATTCTCTTCTTCTTGATTAGTTCATTCTTTTGTTCTTTCAGTCTTCATTATTGAAATAATATTGAACTCACGTTCAACAAAATACAAAGTTTACACAAATGATGTTGATCTCGTTCAACTTCTTTGATTATTAATACATAGTAAACATGAAGTCAATATCTTACAAGTAATAACTTAAAAAACGTGAAGATTGATCGATTTTTCTTCTTTAATGACAAGACTCACTTAATACTGGTTCATTGTTCAGTTTGAATAAAGCTATTGAAATGAGTGAAATATATGTTGTATCAAGAGGATACCGATTCTAACAAACTTGTTGCGTTTTCGTATTCGATACTAATGTTTGTTTAAAAAAATTGTATACTCGATAGAATCAAAGAATAACTAACAGCTATGATAAAGCATACACACAAGATATTTTAGCCTTGGAATGTGGGTCTTCTAATCACCCGCACTCAGATACCCTTCCACACTCATATCCACACCTACATCCTCAATTGGTTCGCATCTGGCATAATTCGGCATTCTGATTGAACCTAATCTGCAGGAAAGAGCATCTATTTAGGATTAAGGAAGACATCAATAGTATTTCATGGAACAACTCAATAACTTATAAATAAAAAAAAAGAATTGCGCTAGAAAACAAAATATGGACTGAATTATGTGATTTTTTTTCGAGAAATAAAAGTTACAATAAAAAACGCGTTTTTTGAAGGTGCAAATAAAGGTAACATTTATTTTGTGCTACAGGGTTCTTTTTATGAAACCTTTGAACATACTAATAAGATAGAGCTTTTGAAGTTCTAAAAAACGGATAGCGTAGTTTGTCCGATAGTCCGAGATGAGAACATATAGATACAAGAAAGCTGTAGTGTTCTCTTGAAAGTTTTTGGTGTGTCATATTCGTAGTATTACTACAATATTATTTTTTGGTTCTATCTCTATGGCACTTGTTCATCTATGGTTTTGTAGAGAATGGAACGCTGAATCTTTCCTAAAAAAAGCTCAGTCTGATACTGAAAAATAAAAGAAATACTGAGAGCATCGTTTATTCTGGCTCACCTGTGACATTGAACACGATTATTAAATATTTTTTTCTGAAACTATGTGATATGCACGATTTTATTCAACGAAAACGAATCGCTCATCAGCTTTCATAAAAGAAAAATGTATCGACAATTAGTTCCTGTTGAACAACAAACACATTCCCCTAGTACAAAATAGTTGCAGTCATTTTTTTCAATATTTTTCTATTATAATTACATATTTTTACATAAATAACTTCATACTGTGATAGCATTCGAATTTCCTTTATATTTATGTTTTGATTTGTATTTATTTGCCGGAAAAATATTACGAGCACAGTAAAAGCACATTTATTCTCAGATTTTCACGCACTACATTTTTCAACAAGAGTATTGCCTGACATTTGATTTCAAAGATTGTCATAATTCTCTCAAAACAAAATGTGACTCTCCCTTGCAGATTAACTTCTTCGTATGAAGTTGAATAGAGATGGCATCAAGTAGAATCTGTCGTTTCAAACCAATGATCTCGTTGTGATAGTTATGTATCAGTTTCTGTGCCGTGCGACAGCATTAAGGTAATCTTTCGATCCTCGCAAACATGCATCATACACTGAATATTTTATTATTCTTTTCTTTTTTTACCCTTCAGTTCGAACATATTTGTTCTGTATGATTGAAATTTCGCTCTTGTTAACTGAAATTAGCTTGTCATATTTATACGATTTGAATGTTCAGAATTTATACTATCCATTAGAAAAATATGGGCTGTCTAATGATCACGTTTTTACTTTTATTACGGCACAACTAGGAACTTCTAGGCTTCACAACCATAGAATGAGCGAATTTCAGATATATCAGTTGGGCTAAGCTTTTGTCTTTGACCGATTCTCACACCAGGCACATTAGCCACGATGGTTGGCTGTCCATTGCTACTAAACGAGTGTGATCCGTAGTGCATAATACTGTCATAATCATAGGTCGAATTTTGATTCAACACTGAACCGCCCCATAGATATTTGTTGAAGTTATGTCCCTGTCAATATCAGATATTCATAATTATGTATATACTGCAGCAAACTCCTTACTTTGCCTTTCGCAACGTTTCCATGATTGATAGTGATATATAAGTCACGGTCAGGACGTGATTGTTCGTGGTAGAAGCCTAAAAACCCGTATTAAATGATTTTAATGTGATATATTTCAGAAAACCACAGTCATTGAAATTTACGAACATGAAATCTCTTACTCATGTTATTTTCCGACTTTATAAATATGAATTTTTCTAATCATTTAGCAGTATTTTAAGATCTATTTTTCGACATTGAGTTCAAATATAGACTTCTCACTCTGTTTCAAGATTTTTCAAAAAACCCTCACCGAGCACATGTGTTAGTTCGTGTTGAATAATTCCAGGCGTGAAACAACCATTTTTCTCCAGGTTTAACGTCTTCTTGAAAAGCGTATAACCAACCTAAATAAATGATGTCACTTCATAGCTTGAAAATATTACAATCTTCACTTTCTCACCGTTGCACTGCAACCTGTTCCGTATTGTATTTTGAGATACTGGAACTCATTAGACATTTTAGGCCGAAAAGTAACGCATGGAGTGATTGTTGATTCACCTGGCTTGGTGAAGCCCGTAACAAGCGTCACTGTGTTCATTGCTGCTTCAATCATGTCACGATCTTTTTGATCTGTAAAATTACACTTTGTTTACTATGTGTCTTACTTTTATTATTACATTTACCTGTGATCAGCGAAATGTCGTAAGGAATTGTATTTTTAGGCCATTGACGAGGTCCAGCAATAGCCACGCCTCTTCCGGTTGGTTCTTCTGATGGGTTGAGAACTTCGGGAGGCAAAATCATGTCACCCTCGAATCCACCACCTAAATGTGGATCAGTTTGTATGTTAATTCAGCAATCATGATAATACTCACCGAACAATTCATAATCAATTTCAGTTTGGGAAACATCTGAGATAGGAGTACTGAGGGTGAATCCCACAAGCAGATATGACAAGACTAAGACGTGAGCAAACATGTTTCAAATTGTGATACACAATACCGATGATCGAGTCTGCTATTCATTTTATACTAACACAGTAACGCTCTCTTATCAATAAAAAAAAAAGAAACTATAATCTTGATGTGTGGATTTTGATGAGAAAGCTTGCACCTGTCCAATAACGCCCTGTTTTATTACTTTTTGCGGACATTTTGTGATTACCCATATTATTTTGTGCTATCAACATGTTTTGCGTATGTTGGATTTCAAAAAATCAACTCGTGGGTGTGCCTGACGCTTTTAAGTTTAGGTCAATACGTTGCATCTATTGAGTTAGAAACGAAATATCTATTCAAATTAGCTTTTTCTTGTGAGGAACCAAGTGCTATAACGTAGCACGATCTTCTTTTAGTAAATCATACAATCTTTTTTTCTTATCCGTCTTATTGTTTACTGTTTATCTTATGAACTGCTTATTGTGTTATACAACGAATTAGGGAGAGTTATCACGCCTTTATTCGTTAAAATGGTGGACGTGAGTGTGGGCACAGGTGTGCAAATGTAGGTATGGCGTGGGTATGGATGTTGATGGGTGTAATTCTTCTCACCACGCACACATGCCCACGCCGATCCCCATACTCATGCACCGCACAACCATGCCTACCTAATACCGCACATTCACATCCATATCCGTACCTACACGCTACACCCAGATCCACACCCACACCCACACACCCACTCACATTCACGCTCACACACACCGACACTTCTATATGAGTGAACAAAACTCTAACCTATCAGGACAAATTACAGAAAATATATTGTATTTTCTTGTTTTAGAAAAAATAATTTTTTCGTACCTCATGAGTCACAAGAGCTTTATTTGAATATTAACGTTCAAATAATTTCAATGATAGTTCAGTAGATTGAATTATGGAAATATAAAAATCATCAAAGTTCAGTAGTCATTCTTGTCATGTTTAACAGTAACAAATGTTGTTTTCTCAAGCTTTTTATAAAAACATAGATTCGTATCAATCAACTTTTTTTCTACAACGAAATGTATGTCTAAAGAAGGATGCATGTTATTTCGTTTTAAAATCTGCTTGCATTATATACACATATGTAATAAGGCTATTTCAATCGCGTATAACGCTTCAGACAATCAAGAAACTGTAAGAGAATAGTAAAAAAAAATGTTGTTCTAACAATCATTAACAAATTTACGATATAAATGAGTTAGGTAGAGAAAGCATTAAAAAAACAGAAATCAGAGACGTGTTCTGATCACACAGAAAATAAATTACAGAACATTCTTATTTTATGACTTGATTGCTTGTTTTTTTCTTTCTACTGTCGACACTTTCACAACACATTGACACATGTTCTGTTTGTGAAATATTGATGCTGTGTTGCCGTTGTAAATGAGAATAAAAGTGCTTTGCTGCCTATATGTAAATATCTCGTATTTTTTTCTTGTAAATGATGAGTTTGTGATATTTATACAAATTCTTAATAATGCATGTTAATTTAGCTATAAATATACATATTTCGTTCATGTGAATACTTCGACAAGTATTATAGAATGTTGCAATGATTAACAGAAAATAAAAGTCTTCGTAAATGATAATTATAAATTCTTAAATAAAAAAAAATGAGAACATGTTGCTTTTTAGTTAAATGAGAGAAAAATTGGCAACACGATTATCCAAAACATATAAGGTCTCATTAAGTAATGTTGGAATTAGCTAGACTAAATGGAAATACTTTGTCAAGAATGATTTAAGTAGTTCCGAACAACATGATCTGCTGGCTAATGTATCGAATATGTTCATCCTTTAGTGGTTATATCTAAATACACTGTATGAGAAGATTTTTTTAATAACTAAGTTGTTGATTGAGATTTACATATTTTCAGGAACAGCCAGATCTTACTAATATTTGTACAAAATATTGTACTGACTATAGGGTGGACAAAAATGTAGAGCAGTTGTATTTTTAAGTTTTCTTCTTGATCATAGTAGTTAGTAAGAATCTGAAAAAGCATTTATGTAACTGAAAAGATCTGCTATTAGGATTGGTAGGCATAAGGGCTTCAACAAAATGGTTTCGATGAAAATCTCTAGAAAACCAATATCATCAAAATCGGCTTTCTGGCTTCCATTCGAAGCTTTTAGGAAGAGATTTTATAGAGCAAATGATTCTGAGCAAGATAAGGAAGTGTCTCCGACTTCTTCATAACCTTCTTTTATCAAACTGCATTCAATTAGAACTTTTTGCTCTAGCAAATAAAATCTTTTCACAAAAGCTTTGAATAGAAACTAGAAAGCTGGTTTTTGAAGGTATTAGCTTTCCACAGATCTTCATCGAAGCAGTCTTACTGAAGTTCTCGGATCTACTGCTCCTGGCAGAGAATTCTTCCGGCTATGCAAATGTTTTTTTTTAGATTCTTACTAACTATTTCGTAGAGATGACGCTAGTGAATAATACCAACAAAATAGAGAAAATAAAAATGGTTAATACGAAAATATGATATAATGATGTTGTAAGGTATATCTGATTTTTTAATTGAAATATTTTTCCAATTAACTTGGTTGGAATACGTTGTAATCGAATTCAACAGATGATTCGTTATAGATGTCATACGATGAATCATCCATTCTAACTAGTAGATCAAACATTTACACACATCACAAAAAATATACTCGTCAATATATTAGAAATCTGAAAAGTAATTCTATATTAATTATTTCATAGATTTTTCATTGAATTCACTTTAATCTAAAAATAAACTTATCCTAAATATAATTCGAATATGTTAGTTCAACAATTATTTTCATGTAAACATATTTGAAATCAAGGAAAAAATTATTATTGTTATTAATACTTTAACGAAGATTTTTTTATTTGTAAGATCAGCGATATAGAAAAATGATCGTTAGAAATTTTGTTGGATCATTAAAATCTCTAATATCTTTTTTTACTGGTAGACAACATCTCGTATCTTATAAACTATTATCAACATCAAAAGAATGGCGAGTAGTGTAAGTTTTGACGAGTGAGTAATACATAAACAAAGCATTCTTTTTTCTTCTATTCATATTTTTAACTACAGAATAACTGAACACATATCACCAGCAAGTCTCAAGCGAGAATTTGATGGTAATTATGTATCAGCTCATGCAACACTTCACGTTCTTCAATGGAATACTCTTGCTCAAGGTATATTCGTATAAATTTTTTCATCATAAATATTTTCTTTTCAGGTTTATCCAATCCTGAGAATAATTTTGTACGTGTTAAAAACGAAACAATAGCATTTGATACTCGTAAATGGCGCATACTTGAACAAATTCTTATTCGTAAACCTGATCTATGTGCACTTGAAGAAGTTGACACCTATGATTGTTTTCTTCAATATCATTTACCAAAATATGGGTATTATAAAATACAATGTATTTTTCTATAGAAAATGATATTATATCTATTTTCTTAGATATACTTGTTTCTTTACTCCCAAACCAAAATCTCCATGTTTTGCATTTCAACATGATTCTGCCAATTTCAAAGGACCTGATGGCATTCTTCTGTGTTTTAAAACAGATTTATTCGATGAAATTCAACGATATCACTATCAAAAAGCCGAATGTGATACTGATCAGAAACCTGCAGTAATATAATTTATTAGAAAATTTATTAATTCAATAAATTATATATTACATAGTTTTTTTCAATATTTGAATTAAAACACAAACCATCATCAGCCAATATTATTTTTGTTGGTACACATTTAAAAGCAAAGAAACAATTTGCAAATATACGATCAGATCAAGCACAAACTATTATTCAATATTTAACTGAACATTATTCAACACGCGCACATATCATTATTTCTGGTGATTTTAATGGTGAAGCTGATGAACCTTTCTATGATATCATACGTAAGGCTGGTTTTTCGAGTGCATATCGAACAGTATTAAATGATAAAGAACCATTGTTTACAACATGGAAATTTCGAGAAAATGAAGGAATCGAACAAGAGCAGTGTCGAACTATTGATTATATTTTTTATAAATCAGAAGGTTTGGTACCTATTGCTATTTTAAAACTACCAAGTAAAGAAGATATTGGTTCCAATGGACTTCCATCAAATGAATATCCATCAGATCATTTAGCACTTGAAGCGATTTTTAATATAAATCTTTGAAAGACATTTTTTTTCAATATATGTATTTTAATTTATACATGATTCTAATAAGAAAATGATTTGGTAACAATATTCTTTTTCGTTGCAAATTAAGCCATAGAATGATTGAGGCGAGCTGTATAGGTAAGGTTAAATGAGTGTTCTTACCTTCATTTTTCTATTTATATGTTACGAAGATTTCTTTTTTTAATTGAGAAATCGTCCACTTGAGTTTTAGCAATCCGAACAGAAAGATTGATAGAATATAGGTTTTGCTTCATTGAGATTTTCAAAATATTTTACAATAGATTGGCTTCCGTTCTGCCTGTCTGGAGATGAAGACAATTATTTAATAAGATTCGAAGTTTATGTCTCATATTGTAAGCTAACATTATAACATAATTTTCAATAGATCTTAATATTACAAATCGAATAGAATCTAGGAGTTGAATATTTGATTTAGTTTCACGAAATTATGAGATATTTTGTGTCGCCAAAACATGGTAGGTCCATTCTTCTTCTTTTGAAATCAGGACGATTTGAAAGGTCTGTTACTGTTAAGATACTCAAAATTTATCAGCTTCTCATGGAAATCTTAAATTTTTGATTCAGTACTTTTAGTCATGGTTTACACATGTGTTGTTCACCTTCTTTTCGAGTCTTTTGGAAATTTTATTGATTGTATGTACGCTTTTAGTTCTGAAGGCAAAACTTTCATGTTTATCGTTCTCGTATTGATTGCCTTAGAGAATAGTGAATAGTTTCTGTACTATTTGTTTCACATCTTTTATCTTTGGTATTTTAAGGTTTTTGCACTTTATAAAAACATTTTTGTTCTTTTTATGCAATGAAAAATTAAGTTATATTTTTTCAGAATAAGGAACCGCTAACTTTTTCTCTTCAGAAAAATAATCTTTTTGGCGAAAAAACAATCATAAATCTAGAAAACTTAGGTAGAACTTTTTCATTTCTGTACGAATAATAGAATAGATTTCGAACTATCGAATGATATAAACGAAGTTGATGTACCATTCATTCTTTGTTTCAAAATTTCTTTTGATCAATAGAAGTTATATTTGTAAAATTAATTTTTTGTAGTCGCATATATTCTTGTTTACTGTTTTGGCTCCTATCAAAGAATGCACTAATACTATTGTCTAGCTGACAAAATTGGATTTTATTTATAAATCAACAATGCGATATGTTGTTGCAACAATCCTTATATTTCATTACAACTCTGAGAAGAATGGTATTTCATAATCGACAAATATAATCTCAGGATACGTTTCATCAATACCGTATGCGATCAGAGTTGGCTATCATATCAAGAAAATATGGCATCACATTGTTCAAGTAAGCTGAACATTATCTGGGATCGAAGTCGATTTAAAACAAGTAGATGCGTATGTCGTGATATCTGTTCAGTAAAATACACATTTGAATCGCGATTTTTTTATCAATATTGGTCTAGCTTAAAAACGCGATAATACAATAATCGTTGTCGAACTCGATGCAATTATGGTAACATTTTCTCATATTGAAGATGATTGCTGCCACCTAACATTGAAATTTAGTCCAACTAACGAATTTATCTTTAATATTGACTACAATGAATCTATGACTAATGAAAACAAAATCCGTCTTGCTCATAACCTATGTTGGTCTTTCTGAAAAGACTTCTAATCAATCATTTCTTTAATATTGTTCGGTTTGGATCCCTCTATGAAAACGTTTTTGAATGAGACTACTGCTATCTACAAATGTGACGCTACTAGTTGAGTGTATTGTATACATAATGTTTAGCAGTGGACGATTGGACCAATCGATGGGATAATTGTTTTCGTTTAAGGAGAAATGGTTCACCTACAAAAAGTCATACGTATCAAGGAAAAATGAAAAAAAAGAATATAAACATATATTTATCACGTTTAATTTACCATAAAGAAATACTTCAGTGAGGAGAAACAGAACGAAAGAATACAAGCATATATCTATCAATCTCTACTCCACGACCCATTTTTCATTTTGTCACTTCTACTTATTAACGTTAAGATGGATGAAGGATTTCTGTTAGAAATATTCACATTTCTGTTGGAGAAAATCCATTTCTACTAGAATTTCTCCTTACAGTGGAAAATAATTTAATTTCTTTCTGCTGACATTGTAAGGATAATCTAATTGATTTCTCCTTGTGAAAAAAGATATGGTTGATACGTTTCTAATCGAAAACATTTAGTTGTGGATTGTATTTCGCTATGAAAAACACTTCTGCTTGACTTTGTATGGGGTGAAGGATTTCTGCTATAAACGGAATAATTTCTCGATTTTTGGGGATATCGTCCAACCCTCTCCACTTGATGTTTATGGCTTTGTCTAAGTTGAATATCTTCTGGGTATAATTAAAAACCAAAAAAGAACAAACTAGTTTTTGGATGTATTTTAGTTTTAATGATTTTTTAATAATTTCTTGTGATGTTTACTAGTAGAAATTAGTTTATATCTGAGTGTGGCTAAAAAATGATAGAAATCATTAGAAGTCCTTAGAACTCACAGAAAATCACGAGAAGGTATAACAAATCAGGAGTAACTATTAGGAATATTGAAAATTATACAAAATAAAGAGATCAATAAAAATCATTAGAAATCTGTAGAAATCAGGACTTCGTTTTTAACCCTATTACAACTAAATTTTCAGTGATTTAGAGTACTAGAAATCAGTTTTTTCTTTCTTGAAAAAAAATATCCTACTAACGCAGAAACAAAAAAAACTGCATACTTAAAGAATGTTCCAGAAGTTCTGAAACGATTTTGAAATTGATCGTTCTTACATTCAAAAAAAGCAAACTCTTCGCAACTTTGGTAGATTATTACGCTTACTTAATACTAAATAACTCTAAAGTTTGATGTCGAAAACTTTCACTAGGAATATTATTTTCGCATTTTGTTCCTAGGAACGAGGAACACGAGACATGTTTCGATTTCTGAAGACCCAGGAATATAATTAGACTACTCGGTTCCTTAATTAAAGAACGTAATAAAAGTAATGTGACGCAAATATCGCTAGCTCTCTACTGGAAAGATGTGATCTAGTTGAACATATAGTATTCAAGCAGGGATTTATCAGAACTTATGTGCTCGTATACACCTATACAAGAATACAATAAAAGGAATAATATAGGGATACTCAATTCCAATTCTGACCAATTCCCGCTAATTCTAAGTCTAGAATTGGATTTGGAATTGGTGCACTTCTACGTACAAAACTAACTAGAATCAGCTCACCAATAATGAATCAACGAGCGACAAAAAGTAGTAAGAAACGGTCTGAGATAGCGTTTATTCTGGGTTTATGTTAAGCTATAGCTTGAGTTGAAATCGAATCGGTTGGTCGTATTCTAAACTGGATTTTACAATGAACTTATTTAACACTAACAACTGTCAAAATCCGATTCGAACATTGATGTTGAGAAAAACTGATGAAATGCCATAAGCTTAACAGATAATTTATTCTAGTATGCCCATAACAATTATCAAGCATCATCAGTGATGAAACTTTACCTTAGGTATATGATCAGAAGTGTCATGCACGATAATACCAGATAAGCACTACTAATGAACAAATATTCCACTGTGATCAAATTAGTAATATTTGATAGAAAAACCATGAACAGAAGATTTTTGAAGCAAAAAAGTTTTTACTTGACTTAAAACGATATACCAAAATTGAAAACATTAAATTAGAAAATATGAAGTATGCAGTACTAAGGAAGAATATAACATGCTTCTCTATTTTATTTTCATAGCAGTGCCAGTTATATTTTTACAATTGAGGTCGTATTATTCGAGAAGATGAAAGAGATTGATAATGGCAATAAGAACTATTGCACATTCTAACAAATGTGGAAGTAGCTCTTGAGTTATCGGACTTAATGACTCATCAGTTAGTTTGTTGAGAGAAATTCGTAAGACATCGTCTTCTACTAAATGATGATTATACAGAAAATAATAGTAAAACCAATTGAAGTATGAGGTTTGCCATATTGAAGAAAACATACAAGATTCTTAACACATGACACATGATCTAATTTCTCTTTCTTTCCCATTTTTTCTGTTTCAATGATCTTGACCAAAAGAAAAAAACAAGGGATATCGTGCTAAACTTTGCATGTTAATCAATACAAAAACACTGATAGCTGTTAGAGCTATTAATATTTGTTACAGATGATTGTATGCTATACTGTTAGAAACGTTCGTTCTTTGGTCGAAGTTTGACGTAGTCAACACATTGCACACCGTTAGAATCCTCCAACAACTCTACACAGTTGTCGAGAATGACAATTTTCTTTTCTTCAAGAATGGTCATTATACACAGAATGTGGGTGTCGGTGTCGGCTTTCGTGACAGCAATATCCACACTTACACACACAGTCACAACCATACTTCAGATTCAATCCCACGCCGACACACAAAGTGTTAATTCTCTGAACAAACATAATAGTTACCGAACACTAAATTTTATACTGATAGTTTGATTTTTTTCACTGATATTTCGTATATAATACTGATAAGTTAGTTTGTTCTCTTTTTCTAATTATCTCTACCAGTTTATGTATTCATACATTTACTGCAGTGTAAGTCGATTTTTCATTTTTTTATTTCTTTTCCTCACTAGATAAGTGTATGACATTCATAATGATTATTTACTTGTTATAATAAGCAATTGAATCATACAAGCAAAAGACATGACTTATCGAATGATGAAGCATTGTTTATTTATAGTCGAGAAGCCCGTTTAACATGGAATTATATTGAGAGAATACTGATGAGGACATTTTGCACACGGACGAAATGAGTAAGAAGAGAAAAGCAAATTAACTTTTATTTAAGCAACTTCAATCATCATTGCTTGCTCATAATAATCGCATTTCTAATTTAACTTTCAACAAAATCAAATTATGCATACCCAACTCCCAAGGTACAGTATTGCGACTATATTTTGGAATTGGATGACTGACAGGATC